ATGAGCTTTTCGGCCTTTGCTTTGGGCTGTTCGAGGTCTCTCTCTGCCCCACAGCGAGCCGAGCTGGGCCCGGGCCGGGCCGGGCTGCTCAGGGGGGCCGGGGACCGGCACCGAGCTCCTGCAGGCCGAGCTGGGACTCACAGCGGGCTCTGCTGCCCTGTCTCAGCCCTGGGAACTGCTGCACCGTCCGGCTTTGGAAGTGCTCCGGAATTCGAACCTATTTTTGCCGCTTGTGTAATTTGGATCTCTGGGCGGTGCTTCCAGATCTTGTCAGTCCCGCTTGTGCCAGGGCTGTGCTCCCTTGACTGAACTGCAGGAAAAGCCAGGAGTCAGTGCTGTGGGCAGTGATAACAGAGCTTGAGGGGAAGAGCCAAGCTCAGGGGGTGTCTCTTTATCAGTCTGAAGATTTTTACAGATTGGCCTTTCTGGAGCTAAAAGATGCTCAGAGGAGCAAAGCAAAGCCCTGTGTCTTCCCAAGGAGGTTTGCTCTGCTGCTGCCTCGCTTGGGAGCTTGGGGAGTTTCAGTGCAGCTGTGTGGGAGGAGAAGAGGGATTTGTGGTTGAGCTTCTGGGAATTAAAAAGAGTTGAAATCCTGCCAGCCAAAAACGAGAACCCTTGCAAAGCTAGTGTAAAATCCAGGCAGCGCACAGTGTTGTTCTGGACTTGAGTAGCATCAATTTTTTCTCCCAGCTGTGTGTGGAAAGTTGGAGTTATGTCCATTTTGCTGCTGAAGCTCTATAGCATTTAAAGGTGTTCCTCTATAGAAAATAAGTGTCACAGCTTCAGTGCCAGAGCCCTTGACCTCACATGTCTGTGTCCAGACAGCAGAAGGAAAAACTGTGGGTATTTGTAGGGTTAAACTCCCTACACTCCTTTGTATAGTCAGGAGAGAGCGTGCTCCAGTATTGACCATTTCTTAATTTTAAATGTGTCTTTTCCTCTGGACAGAAGAATCTGTTTCATGTCTCCAGGATTGTGTGACCTGCCTGATATCTTGGTAGAGTGAAGGGTATTATAAATACTTCTTACCCATACAGAGAAATCAAATAATTAAAAGGAGCCAACTAAAAAGGCATTTATTAATTCTATTAGACTAACAAGAACTTGCAGAAATGGGTTATGTGTGGGGTTAATATGTGAGTACACACACAAGGTAATTTCTCTTTTTTTTTTCTGTAATCTATGATTTTTTAATTGGGTGCTTTGGTCAGAAGATGGTGCTGTAAATATGTCCAGTTGTCTTTTACACTTCTGTAAGCATCCCTAGTGCAGTGTGGTGTTGAACTCTGAGAGCAGATGGAGCAGCTCTGAAGATCTGTTGTGCTCTGAGGTCTGCCCTGTGTAGCTCTGAGAAGAGGAATGAATTACATGGTTGAGGAGCTGTCAAGCTCAGATCTGTAGCTCAGATGTGGTCTCCTGGCAGTTTGCTCTCACCTGGTCTTCCCCAGCAGTGAAGATTTGTCATGTCCTTTGCCCCTGGTCCCCCTCAAAGGGTGTGTTATTTGGGCAAAAGCCGGACAGCTGGTGTCAAGTCTCAAGCACTAAGTTCTTGTAGCACCCGAAGCAGAGTTCAGTGGAGCTCCTGTTAATAATGTGAGTTCCTGCTGAGCTTAGCAGTAAAAGCAGCTTGGCAGCACGGTGGGCACTCGCTGCTCCTTGGCTGGGGCAGCGCTGGGGCTCAAACCCCAGGCGTGTTTGAAAGCGCTGCTGCCTGCGCTTGGCACCTTCTGCAGAACCGAGCATTTTGCTCGACACTTCTGGTAATGCTTTTTTGCAAATAAAACGTTAATGACTAGAGTGGAAAATACTTTAAATTCTTTTTGATAACTTCAAAAATGTTTTCGGTAGCAGTTGTCAGAAAATATTTACATAAGTGCATCTGTGAACCTCCCTACAGTATCTTAAGATCTGCAGCAGCTTTGTCACTTCCTTACAAATAGCTGTGAGCGATCTATTATGTAAAAAGGTTCAGTTTAATTTACAGGAAGCCTTACATTTTTCTCCAAGTACTGTGTTTAGTTTATCTTGTTGGGGGTTTTTAAGCCGCAGTGGCTCTTTTTAATGCTTCTCTGAAGAAGTCTGACTGATTTGTAGGGAAATGTAATGCGTTTTTATTGGGCTGGCTGTCTGGGGAGGAGAGAGGAGAGCAGTCCTTGTGGAGCTGAGCTGTTCTCGAGGCATCCCTTGGCACTGCTGGCCCAGCCCCGAGGTGATGCTGGTCACTGCAGGGCTCTGGGAGCTGGCACCAGCAGCAGTGCAGGGCTGCGGGGCTCAGGGAAACCTTTGCGTTTGAGGCTGACTGTGCCTTCACACCTGGAATGGGAATGGAATGATTCTGGCTTCTCCTTGGAAAGGGCTCCAACCTGGCAAATCCCTGCTAACTTAAGTGCAGCTATTTTTCAGGTGGTTTATTCGATCCAGGAATATTTAGGTCTGTATGGTGACTTCTGAAAATAGTAGGCAGTATTTTTTGTTTGAAGGCCTGATGTTCGTGCTGGTTTAATGCAGTTTTCCAAAATTGCTGTAATTAGTTGAAGTCTGTGTGGTTTGATTCCAAAAGAAGAGGATGGTGTTAACGTAAATTAACTTTTTATATTAGTAACTGACTTTTAACCTCTCCCCTACATATTCAACTTGAAAGATAAAGCTGTCCCTTGGTTGAACTGGTCTGAAGCAACTAAATTGTCTTAAATTTGTACCTCACATTGTTCTGCATGTGAGTTTTATATGGAGCCAAACAACTTGGTATCTTTAATTGTGTTATGTAAATTTGACCTCCCCAAGTTGCAAAGCTTCCCTCAACAACTCGAGGCTTGTTGGCATATGTCCCTAATCATCCGAAAACAATCAGGGGCACTTCCTGAGGCTGGCTGCTTTGTTCTTCTCCACTGTCGTGTGTATTGTGTGTGGTCACGTTCTCAAAGTGTGTGAAAACTTCCTCGCACTGTGGGAATTTCTCCTCTATCTGCATTGCTGATGGAACCAGCTATTCAGACATATTTCTCCCTTAAGTGTAAAGCTAGACACAGTGGTAATAATGGGACCAATTATTTTTTCCTAGCAGTGTCCCAGATCTGACTTTCCCTGTGAGAATACAATGTTTCTTTCTTATTTTATTTTTTTCCCTCCTAAACACTGGATGATATATTACCAGGGAGAAGATTGAAAGAAATGAGTGCTCTTTCTCTCAAAGGTGGTAATGAAAGAAGTACACGTTTCTATCCAGATAGTAACTGAAGCATTCCAGCGGTGAAGACAGATTTGGAGCTGCTGCAGAATTTCCTGGAGAAAGGGAACACGTTGACAGAAATTTCTGTTAATTTCCAAGTGTACTTTCACTCAGTGGAGGATAAAGATACGGGGTTGCTGATACTGGAGAGAAATTTGCATGGGAAGGGTGATTGTCCTAGTACTACTCTCTGGAGTTACTTAAAATATCTCTAGTTTGCTAGTCCTTGAAGGCATTTAACAGGAAAATGGTCTCTTTTTTGAGGAGGATAAACCAAACTTTGTGGGTTTGGTTATTGAAGGTTTTGGTGGTGTTGTTAGTTTGAGGTTTTTTGTTGGTGCTGGTTTTTGTTTGTTTGTTTGTTTGGTTTTTTGTTGTTGTTTTGGGTTTTTTTTGTTTATAGGTTTTATTTATTTATTTTTTAAAATTATTTTTAAAGAAGGCCTTTACAAAGAAGAACTCCGCAAACTTCATTTTCTTGAGGTAGTGTTTGGAAATATTTGGTTTAGAGTTTCTTGCTATAAAGCCAGAAACCTGTCAGAGCAGACCAAGTTGAAATGTCGGACATAAACAGGGAAATTTTTCTGGACACATTCAGTAATCCAACATAGCTTTACTATTCCCAGTTTGCCAAACACAGCATCTGGCAACATTAGGTAGCCCTATGTACTTTTTTCTTTGTGGAAAATGGGGAAAAATGTGCTGTTAAGGCAAAGAAAAGGATAGGAACAAATCGAGTTCAATGAGTTAAAACTTGGGTTAGCAGAATGGCTTGGTGCCAGCAGTGAGAAGAACAGTCCACTTGCATGCACTTCCAAGATGTTCAGTGGAATCTCAGTTTCTGGTATTGATTTATTTAACTCTTATTCTATTAAATCCCAACAATTGTCGTGGGAGGCACTTCCCAGTCTCTCTTCCAGAGGGATGAGTGACAATCATCTAAATCACTCTAAAGAGCTGAATGTAATGCTTTCTCAAAGAAGGTGAGAGTTTTGCTGTGGTCACTGGTGATCTCCAGGTTAATGCAGTAGCAGTCTGCTCCGCTGGGAGAACTCTGCTCCCTCCTCCAGTACTTCTGACCTTTTCTGACAAACTCCCTTAAAACTGAGCCAAACCCCAGTCTCTCACCGCATACTGAGAACAAATCAAATTTGATTGCTGTCTGAAGAAGGTATACAAAGCCCACTGGATGGGAATAGAATTCACTTTGCCAGTATTTTCTTTAAAATATTTGGAAGAACTTGTTGCAGTTCACGTAGCCCTTGGATTATGAGAAAGGACATTTTCCAGCCTAGTAGAGCCATCCAGTTTGGCAAGACTATTCTCTTTCCCCACCCCAAAGTGCTGGAACTTCATTATGAGTTTTCATTTTCTTCACCCTGCACAAACTTCATGGTTCCCCGGGGTCAGCTCCCTGTCTAGCCTTGTTGCCTCATAAATGTCATCTTCTACCTCAGCTCTTCTGTAAAACCCAGGGTTAACTCTTCTAAAGGTCACAGTTCCACAGTGTGCACCTCTTCAGCTTCTCTACATTACTGAGTTTGTTCCCACATTATTTTTAAATTTAGAATGTTTAATATTGTTCTGTGCACCTCCAGAAAACTTACATCCCTCTTCATTCTGTTTTAAAACTTTTTTCTCTTATTTCCCAAGAGAAGAAAACATTTTCAGGATTTTTGAAATACTGATTTAGGTTCAGATATTAAATGGACAAATGTTTAGGTAACTTACTCAGGGTGTGATTTCACCAGTTACTTCATACTATGAAATTAGGCAGGAATTTGAAGCCACTGGCTTGGATAGCTACTAGGTTGTGTTTTTTAGGTATCCAACTCCTGGTTTGTACTACCTTGATTTTTCAGAAAGTTTTGAGCAATTCAGTTCTTAATGTTGCACTCGTGGGCAGCACAATAATTGCTCCTCCTCTAGTGTTGTAATAATTTTTTTTAGAAGTTGTGATCACGTGAGGCACAGTACTGCTACTGTGTGTACTTCCATGTAATGGGGTTTTTAGTGTGGGGTTTCTTTTTTAAGTGCCTGTTTAAAGATAGATGTCAGTACTCTGAATTTGAATGTGGAAGTAATCAGCTTGTAGAAGTGTTTTCTTTTGTGGCTGTGTTGTATCTTTTGGACATATACTGAAGGATGAGTTTTACAGGAATCTAAAATGAATGAGGGAATGAACAATAGATCAATTTTTTGTAGAAGCAGAAATAATCACGGGTGCCAATTTGAAGCTTAGATGCTGCTTAACTGAAATTGATTTTGAACACTGTGAGGATTAAATCATGAGATGGAGACTTGGATCTGGGTTCAGTTCTCAGATCTGCTGCTTCATTGAGTAACTTGTTCGAGTCACTGAATCTTCTGGTGTCCCACTTCCCCTTCATAAAAAGGGGCAACAATACTGCTTTTATCTTGGGTTATGAGGCCTCTGGGACAAGAAGAGCCTGTTAGTTTGAGCATGTGTAGTACTTAGCACAATGGGGTCCTCCTCTTAGAGATAATAACAACAACATGTTTGACATTCACAGAACATGATTTATCTTTAATCTTCTAATGCACTGGAGTTCCCAGATTGCCATAGTGTTTTCTTTTTTAGATGTGAGAGATCTCTTTTTATCTTGTGAGAATGCAGACTGCTTTTTGTCTTTCTGTCCTCTTGCCATCTGGGAGGAGGGAGGTGTGTGGGATAAATATGGTGATACAGTGCTCAATTTTCTGAAAGGTCTCCTTGCTTAGGTTGTCAAGATGACTTCCAGTTTCAAAAAAATGCACCCCAGCAAAGGAAAGTACTTGTGACATCCAGGGAGAATTGCTTCTATATTCATGGCTTATGGTGCACCACATGCTAAAGACCAAGTCAGACCATCTTGAGCATTGCTGTGCTCCAAGGTAAATTACTTGGGTTATATATAGTATTTTACAGTGTTTGAGACAGCCTCAGAAAATAGAAGGCTTTACAATGTGGGGAAATAAATTATTGCCACAAATCAGTCAAGTCCATGAGACTAGTACCTAGAGACTAATAAGGCTGTGCAGAGATGCAATGGGGGAACTGCCTGTTTATTGCAAATGCATTGGGTGGACTGTCAGAAGAAAAGAGAATTTTTTAAAAAGAGGTATTTAATGGTAAAAAATATCTGTTATGCTCACAAGAAGTGAGAAGTGTCTTGTGGTGTAGCTAATTTAAAAAATAATATTTGGGATGCTGAGTATCTCACAGTAAGAAGTAGAATTGAGCTGGAGAGATTGTGTCATTAAAGAGTGGGAAATTCAGCTGGTCTGTAGATGTACAACTTCTCACACCCATGTCATGGACCAGCACTTCTTAAAGCTGTAGATGGGCAAACCTCCCATTCAGCAGATCTGTTCCTTGGGCTATAAAGACTTGTGTTTTGAAACGACTCTCAGCAGACTCTGGAAACATCAGTGACTTTGTTCTGCATCTCTGCAGGTCAGTGTAATATCACAGGCTTCTTAAAGCTGAAAAGCTGCTCTGAGCAAACACAAGCAAAATTGTTGTAAATTCCATTTGAACTGTTTTAGCAAATTATTCCAAATAGTATTAACTAACACAGGACACTTCTGTTCTTCTGAATCAAGAGTTGTAGTGTGGCTTCAAAATAGGAAAATGCCTGTTGCGTTAAGGAGAGATTATTCTTAAAAATCTTTTACAGAGAATCACGTGGGAAGTGTTTGATTGCTGATACAGTGCACAAGCAGATTTACTTTCTGTAACTTCTCTGATTGTTCTCAGCAATTTCTTTGAATAACCTGGCTGCTCACAAAGAAGGGTGCTGGACTCCAGAAGCCCAGGGTAGTGTATGAAATGGAGATGCTGTTGGTGCATCCTCTTGTAGCTGACAGCTGGGTGATTTCAGCCTGTGATGAACCATTTCATGCCACTGTTGGGGTGTAGCTGCCCTAAGAGTTGTGCCTCCATGCACTACTGCTGGAAAGGCTGAGCAGCCACAGCCAAGATAAAGCACGTGGCAGAGCAGTTTTTTTGTGAAGACAGAGGTTTTATCAGTCCCAGACTGCAGTCAGCAGCGTTAGGACACTGTGTTGGGATGGGTAGAGTTGTTCCAGCCAAGAGGCAAGATTTAGCAGATGTTTAGCAAAAGGTTCCATTCTTCTTGCCACAGACACATGTGGAGCTGTCTTGAGTCTAGTAAGGATTTTACAAGTTTTATAAGTCATAGTTTATTGAGCTTGGGAAAGAATTTAATATGGCATCGTGATCTTGGAAGCTGTTTTACTCTGAAATAATTTTTTTTTTTTTTTTTAAGCTCTGATTTTATGATAACTAGTGAAAGAGAAGCTAAGTAGATTTTTTTGGTTTTTTGAAAAAATACTGCTTCTCTTCTTTGGAGTGTTCTGTACTGTTCTCTTCAGTTGCAGAGTGATGTTTTCCTCTGAGTGATAAACAACCAGAAAGCTGAATCAGCACTTTGCAGCAGCATGAACCTGGCTCAGCTTTGCTCTGGAGAAGGTTCTTTACCAGGTTTCATAATGACTGTGGAGTGGTGCAAATAAAGGGAACACCATTTATCAACCACGTTGGCCATGGAAAGTGATCTGTTTAGATGAGCAGTTTATGTAAGTGAAGGACTTGTTAGGACATGAGGCCGTGCTGCCCATCACAGCAGGCAGCAGCTCTGGATTTGGGAGATGCAGTCCTGGAAGTTATTTCTGGTGTTATTTCTATCTACTGAGCACTGAGGCTACTGATAAAAACGAAGAATTAATTGTGATAATTTTCTAACAGTTCATGAGGTTCAGCCTGTAACTTATGCTATTATTTGAAGTGTCCCATTGAAATTCTGTTGATTTGGTTAAGCTTGATGAATTTTACTGCTGGACTTGATTGCTGAGGGGAGAGTGCTCTCCATCAGCCCCGCTGGTGTGAGCTGAAGTCACAAGCATTTGGGTGTGAAACAAAAGCAAGGGACTGGAGAGACATTGCAAGGGACATGATGGAAGGCCTAGTGTAGACACACAAAGCTAACAAGCATTTCTGCTTTTAAAATGCTTTCAGAAAGACTGGCTGTCTTCTCAGCATTCCTCCAGAGAGCTGAGAAGTAGTGCAGTCACGATTTTGGAGGCTGAAACATCAGTGAAAAAGGTTTCATTCCCAACAGGAAAGTTTGATATAGAGCTCAAAGCCCCTGATGACCAGTCCTCTGCTTCAACAGTGACACCTCCATCCTCTTCTCTTGGAACTTCTGCTGAATTCTAAGCAGGAATAAAGCTTGTGCAGCACATGGAAATGCACTTTCCTCATGGGCACAGCTGTGCAGAGCAGTTTGATCAGAACTCTACAGATGTGACAGGGCTGAGGAGGTGGAGGAGAAGACGGGGTAAATGCCTGTACAGTCTGTGGGACATGGCTGCCACACTTGTGTGGGGAAAGAGTGACACTTCTGCTGTCCTTTGCAGGTGTCAGTTCTCAAGGCACCAGCACCACAGAGGAGGATGATGCTGATTGACACAGCCCTGACAGAAGCTGCCAGCAGAACTGGCTGGCCAAAGTAAAACATGGCCATCTGAAAATCTGCATCTGATCCACTAAGCTGAATCTGTGAAACAGGATGGCCAGAAAGTGATTCTCACTCATTGCTAATGTGGGTTTGCCTGGTGGTGTAGCCTGGAGCAAGAGCAGCTCTGGGGAGAGTTTGGGCAGGTGTGCTGCTCCGGAGCACAGCAAGGAGCATCCCGGTAATATTTCCATATTTCCTGAGGAGCTGGGGGAGCAATCACTGCTGAGGAATGCTGGGAATCACTCATGGCAGGTCAGTGTCTGAATCCTCCTTGACTTAGGGTCTGCCTTTGTTACGTTTCTATTGTTTCCCCAGATGAGCTACGAGGAAGGCAGAGATTCCCAAGAGAGGTGCTGTCCATCCTGAATATGTGAGTAGCTCTCATTATTGTTAATGGGAGTTGCATGTGCTCAAAAAGCTAAGACTCCCTTGTGATGCACTGAGATAGAAGACTAATATCTAAATGATGTGTAATTATTTGAGCAAATGGTGTTACATGTGATGTCTCTGTTAGGTCACTGTTGTTCAGAGAATTGTCCCAATATCATTTTTCCCTAGGAAAATGACCACACAGAGAAAGTAACAGACTGTTAATTTCTGCTTGCTTTTATTTCAACTCCCTTCTTGTTTTCTAAAACTTTTATTTTTTAGCTTCTAAACCTTGTAAAAGACAGGAGTCTGGTCCTTCAGAAGTGATGTGTTAACATGGTGATCATGCTCTGTACTTGAATGGAGTTGGATTCCTGAAGAATCTCTACGTGGCAGACAACTCTGGAGAACTCTTCCTCATGCAGTCAGGTTCAACAGCAGTGTTAAAGTATCACAGGTGAAATATCCCTAACGAGAAAAGTTTGTTAAAGAATAAATTTTTTCCCTCTGAGTATGGCAATGAAGCTGATTTTTGGTGCTCTTTTAACTGCGTATAAGCTCTGACTGTGCTCAGGGTGCTGCTAGGCACATGCCAGCTGGGTGGAACACAAGACCAGTGTGAGCAGAAGTACAACAAGCTTTGCAAAAAGGAAACTTCTTGGTTGCATTGCAGCTGTTTGAGGACAGGACAGCAAATGAGCAGAGAGTGGAAGGGCTGCTCAGCCTCATCCTTGAGGTCAGAAACAAAAATATCGATTGTAGGGTGGAAGCTTGTTCGGCAGAGGGGCTCCTGCACGTTCCATTCTGATTCGTTTCAGAGATGGGATGCCAAATAAAGCCAATATGAGCGATGGCAAATCCGATACCCTGTGCCAAAATAGGCAGGACAAATGAAGCTGTCATGCTTTTCCATTCCTTCCTTCTTGTCCATGGGACAGAGAGGTCTTTAGAGATCAGCCTTTCCTTCCCGCAGTGCTTGCGCTGCTGTTGTCACCGCTGATGCCCCTTGGCCAGTCATGCATTGCTGATCGCCATTCAGGTGAGGGACAAAGGAGGGAGCTTAGCAGTCAAGAGGATACTGATGAGAGGGGAAATTGCTTATTTCAAAGGCTTTTAAAGCGCTCTTCTCCATCTTGACAAAAACAGTTACCGCTCTCCTTTTATCCCCCTGTTTAGAGTCAGACACTGTCCATTCTGAAGAGCTCTGAAGAAACCCTCTTCTCCTCTGTGTTAATCTCTCTCGGTTTGTGCCAGCGACAGGGGACTGGGGCATCTGCATGGCCGAGGAGTGAGTGCTGGCCAGCACCAAGCCCTTGAGAGGATGTCAGCAGTGTGCCTTTGAAACTTTGAATAAAATGGACATGAGGGCCGAGGAAGAAGACAGAATTCCACAGGTAGCTCACCAGTGTGTTTTGAAATATGCTGACTGCTCACTGGCTTTCTCTTTTTGCATAATCCAGCCTGGACTCTTCAGTTTTACAGCTGCACCATCAGCTGGAAAATCACAGAATTTCTTGGAAGGTAGCTCAGTTGTTCTCTCCCTCTGCTCCTGGCTCTCTCTTGAGAAGTTTAGTGCTGGCAGCTAACATTGCTTGCATGCCATTTGTCTGATTCCAATGGCACAGCTTAGACTTAAGGTGATAACAGCTGCTTTCCAACTTTGCTCCTTTCCAAGAGTTGCTTGGGCTCTCACTATTTCCTGCATACAGTTTTTGGTTGTATTTGTCACTCCTAAAGGAACACACCCCCAGGTGAGGCCTTACCTGCACTTCTTTCACCCCAAAGGACTTGCATAGACAGGTGGGCAGGGTGTAGGACAGGGATGAGGCTGCTTTTGCTTTACAAGTGGGGATTTAAAGCACAGGGAAAATAGATCTTTAAGGAACTGGGAAGGAGCACTGGGGCCAGCCCTTTAGAAATAGGGCTTTGTGGAAGACTTGTAGCTGAACATAATCAATAGTGTAATCTTCTGGCTTCTTCCTTGCAGGGATAAAGGGGCTTTTTCCCAGGTTTCAGATGCTGCCATTTCCACCTGACTGCATGGCAACCAGTCTGTCTTGCCCAGTAGCTGTGCCAACTTGTAGCCTTTTATGGTCACCCATCAGTTACCTGTAAAATTTTTGGCTGTCATGAAATTCGATCCCAAAAGGTTTAAGTTAGGTTAACTCTAAATTCTTGGGTTGGGATACTTTTGTGTTAACTCTTATTTTGGAAATAACGACTCAATGGAGTCACAATGCTAAATTTTGAAGTCTGAAATGTTTCATTACACTTTTCTAAGTCCACATAAATGTTTTGTGTCTGGGCAGCTCAGCTATTAAGTGCAGGTTCTTGAGGTGTGTTGTTTCTCAGGGACATTAGCTGGGAGACAACTGTCCCTATTCTTTGTTTGGTAGGGCCCTGGGCAGACTGGCTCCTATGAGGCATCACAGATTAACCAAAATCTGGCCCTGGGCAAGAACAGGGCCTACATTCACCTCTTTCTTGAGTGGCAGGAGTAATACTGGTAGTGGAGTGCACTTGAACAAATGCACAGTGCCTGAGCAAAGCATCTTGCATTTTCTAAACAATCTCCTACACAAATGGTATTTTTCATTGGAAAATATTCTCTGTCCTTCTACGAAGTCGGTATAGGCTTATGAGGGTTTGTTCCTGGTGGAGGTAAAGGTTCTTCACATCTTGAAAGCTGGAGAATATCAACTGTCATAATTGAAATTCTGCTGTTGATGTTTTAAGCATAAAAATGTGTTTGGTCAGTGAATGTGGTTCAGAATTGTAACACTCTCAAACTGCTCCCTGCTGTATACAGAAAGGATGTGAAATGGCATTTTTATCAGTCAGTGAAAGCTTGGTTTAATTGGCTTCAGTCAAGTTTCTGTATTGTTCTGCGTAATCTGAATTAAACATTGGTTTGACTACATATGTGGCTTTATCTTCCTTGAAGACATAGGGTGCTCAGTCAGACAGTACAATCAGCTTTGAAGTTAAGTTATTCATAGCTCAAGGATTGATTCTGACATTAACACTGTTTCTGTGCACTCCTTGAAAATGCATCCCACCACCCCATTCTTTCAGTTCCTGATTTTGTATTAATTTTAAATATCTGCAATTTCATAGTGAAAATAAAGCTCCTCTCCTACTCTACACATGAAAGGTTGAAAAGACCAAAACTAGAGGTATTAACAGGGAGTGTTGAGTGTCTTCTTGCTCATGTTTATAAGTTGCCAGCCATCATTTGCCTTCATGTAGAGCTGTTCTGCCACCTCCATCTGTGAAGAGGTTCTGTCACTTCACCCCAGGGCTGGGGCAGAAATTCCTGCAGAAATTCCTGCAGTGGAAGTGCTGAAGGCTTAACCACACAAATGCTTAGCCTGGATCTTGCAAACCCGTGTTTATTCTGACATACATGCCTAATAGCTTAGAGTCACCCACTTAACTGGCCTTTGCTTTTAGCTGGCAGGTACAATTGGGTTAAATGACATTTCCTTCTCTTTTCTCCTTTTGCAGGGACGTGTGGGGGAGGAAGCATGACTTTATTCTGAACTTTCTTCTTGTTTCTTTAAGGAACTTTTTGTGTGAGAAAGATTTGATGTCAGCGCACAAAAAAATGACTTAAGATTTGCATTCTTTTGCCACAGGAATAAATGAACAAAGTTTGCAACTGAAAAGGCATTTTTACACCTTTTGTTGTTTAGTAACATAGAAATCCCATTATGCTTCATGCATAGCCCTAAGGAATGTGCAAACAAGTATTAGATCAATGGCATGTCTCTGCAGCTTCTTTTATCATGAGTATTTAAAACTGAATATTCAAACATTCATTCATATTTCAAACATCTGTCTCAAATAGTGGATTTGTGTTGGAGTATGTTTTATTGCCAATAGATAGGTTAAATGTAAAGCTTTTAAATGTTTTATAAGTTGCAGATGCTTAGCTATGGTCTTGTAACAATGTTTGGGGTTTTTTTTAAGCAACAAAGTGGAAAATAAGCAATAAGCTCAAAAAGGTACCTGGGGAAAAAGAGTTTAAAAAAAGAAGAGTACCCACCTGAAAGAAGGCGTGTGAAAAGCTGGTGTGAAATTCAAAGAAGCCATCTCGGCTTCAGCCAGTGATCGTGGGGTCTGCATCATTTATGGACACTGTTAAACACCTTTCTTCCCCAGGTGTCCACACAGGAACCACCTCCTGCATTTGACAATTGCCCCAGCAGCAGCAGCGTGGGGCAGCTCTGTGGGGCGGTACCGGGCTGGGCGGTACCGGGCTGGGTCATGGGGATGGTCACCAGGATGGGTCACTGGGATGGTCACCAGGGTGGGTCACTGGGATGGTCACTATGGTGGGTCACTGGGATGGTCACCAGGGTGGGTCACTGGGATGGTCACTATGGTGGGTCACTGGGATGGTCACCAGGGTGGGTCATGGGGATGGTCACCAGGGTGGGTCACTGGGATGGTCACCAGGGTGGGTCACTGGGATGGTCACCAGCGTGGATAACTGGGATGGTCACCATGGTGGGTCACTGGGATGGTCACTATGGTGGGTCATGGGGATGGTCACCATGGTGGATAACTGGGATGGTCACCATGGTGGATAACTGGGATGGTCACCAGGGTGGGTCACTGGGATGGTCACTGTGGTGGGTCACTGGGATGGTCACCAGGGTGGATAACTGGGATGGTGGGATGGTCACCATGGTGGATAACTGGGATGGTCACCAGGGTGGATAACTGGGATGGTCACCATGGTGGGTCACTGGGATGGTCACTATGGTGGGTCACTGGGATGGTCACCAGGGTGGGTCACTAGCTCTGGTACCTCCTGGGCTCATCTTGCCCGGGCTGTGGGGGGGTTTGGGAGAGGCTTGGTGGCCCAGCTGTGCAGGATGTGCCAGCTGTGTCCCCGTGCTGTGTCCCCCAGTGGTGCTTGTGGACCTCCTCAATCCCACTTCAGTTTATTCCTTTCTTTTGGCTCTCTCCTTTAACAGTCCTTCAAACGGACACTGAAATCAGACGTGCTCACCCACTTTTGTGAAGAACAGATGATTAAATGTCATGTTAGGGGGAAGGCAGGGCAAGGCTGTTGCTGCCCTGTCCTAATGAATAAAATTCAGCCTTTTTTGAGCTCTCTTGCCTGTTTCACCTGGACTGGTCCCATCCTAACCGTGGGAGCTCCTGGTGCAGAAGTGCTGCAGGGCCTGAACATGAAGCTGGCTCTGGTGGTTTCCCCAGAGCTTGAGCAGATGTGGAACCATGTGCATCTGTGCTAAGCATCCTCTCAGAGGAAAATGTCCCCATGTTGAAGAGATGTTCAACATTAGAATTAAAAATACGTTACTTTTTGTGGTGAAAATATTTTTCAATGACAGGAAAGCTTTTATTTATTAAAGCAGTTCTGGTTGTGGTGAAATTTTTGCTGTCTCTCTAGAGTATAGGCTGCCTGCAAGACTCCAGTCCTTTAAAGAGTTTTTCATATGTTCATGTTGTGAATTCTGACTTTCAGCCATAAAAAAACTTCTGTAGAACTTAGACTTTAAAAACAAATTAATATTCAAGCAAACCAAATAAAAAGCAAAGAGAATGCATTCCTTCAAAGAAAAGGCACCTCTCCTTTTTGTTGAGCCCATTATATCTGGAATTATTATACTGAATACGTCATAGTTCATTTTGCAAAAATAACAGATTAGAAATGTCTTAAAAAGGCCTCTCTTCTAGCAATAATCTCCTGGGAGCTAGATTTCTTTTTTCCTTTCATTTTTTTCTCTAATTTTTTTTTTTTTTTTTTTTTTTTTTTTTTTTTTTTTTTTTTTTTTTTTTTCTGTCAGGACACTAATAACTGGTTTTGCACCACTTTAAGTTGTTCTCATCTTGCTTGCAGTTAAACTTCAGGAGTTGACTTTAGTTTTTGCAGGTGCAAATACTTCAGCATCTGAACATCTGACCTTTACCAAAAGATGCTGGCAAAATCTGTCTCGCTTGTGGATTTTCTGCATGTATATTTCCACTTTCAAACTCTAAGACACTGTGGAGTGGTTCAGCAAAATTCTTAAATTTAATATTTTCCTAATCTGTTTAAAATAGGATGGAATAAGACTTACTTTATATAAAACTGGTGTTTGTTTAGCATTTATCTTTTTGTAGGCTGAACCAATTAAGATGGTGCATTGTGTTAAGCCAGTAAAAATGTGTGTACAAACAAGATCTCTACACAGGGCACTGCACCAGTTCTTAGGTGATCAAGCCTTTTTTTCCCTCAGAGATCTACTAGATCTACTTTTTGATCCAAGTATTTGCATCCAAATATTGCAACTTTGTAGTAATCGAGACTTCAGCTCTCTGGCAGGCTTGATGTGTGTTTCCTGTAATTGAAACAGGACAAATAGACAGGTAAATGCCTTCATGTGTGACCTGCCTCATGGAGGACTGAGACCTTGCAGGAACACCATGGGGGAACCTCTGTTTCCATTTCAGTCCCTGCAGCAGAGTGGTCTCATTGCACTCTGTGGCTCTTTGAGCATCTTTCTCCTGGGTTTATTCAGGTTTTCCCTGTGCCAGTCCTGTGCTGTGCTCAGTGTGTCAGCAGTGAGCCCTGCCTGCGCTGTTCCTGTCGCTTGGAGCCCCATCCCCAGCGAGTGTTCCAGGCCAGCTCTGGGGCTCTGATCCACTGGAAGGTGTCTCTGCCCATGGCAGGGAACTGGAATGAGATCATCTTCCAGATCCTTCCAGCTCAGCCCATTCCGTGACCACTGGGGACACGTCACGGTGGCTCTTGCAGCCACAGCCCTCGTCTGTCTCACGAGGTCCATCCTTCCTTCCTTCCTCTTCAGGTGCTGTCCTGGCCCTGGCAGCAGCTCCTCATCTGCACTGTGCAGCTTCCAGCTTTTCCAGCCCAGTGCTCCTCCTGCATTTGTTCTCTTCCAGCTGCAGTTCTCACTGTCCATGTTTTGTGCTGTTTGTGCTGTGCTGGTACCAGGAGCAGCAGGATCTCGGCAGGGGTGGCATCCCAAGCCCTGGCTCTTCTGCCTGCTGCTTTAGGGAGCAGGGGAGGAGAGCACCCAGCTCAGCCCCTGTTGGGCCAGGCTGGAGTCTGCTCTGTGAACACAGTGTTTTAAGAGAACGGTGCTGACCCTCTGCTCCCCAGAGATGTATAACCTGGCCAAATGTGGCTTTTTTTTAATTAGTAAAAGGCACAGTGAAATCCCTGTTACCAGCAAAATCCCTCTGCTGAAAGGTAAGGGACAATTCTGTTGGGAAGCTATCTGTGCCTTGAGGCAGTCAGCAAGTTCGTTATAATACCTGTGGAATGATGTATATTCCTCAAGTCGTTTTCTTAAAAGTACATTAATGTTTCTTGCAGAACCTATCAAAAGAAAATGCAGAAATTTAATCCAAAATGTACCTGGCATGAAACATTGTCCAAATTTTTGCAAAGCTGTAAGTAACTGAAAACAGAGCTTGTAAAAGCTGTCATTGCTAGCTTTGTCTTTAATAACAGCTAATGCAAACAGAAACTGCTGCAATGTTTTTGGAAAGATACTCAACTTCTGCTTCTGCTTTAAGGGATTAGGAAAACACCCATGGTGGGAGGCAGATTATCTCACATCTGTCTACTTCAAGGCTTCTTGTGCCTTTCTCTGAAACATCTGGTACAGGCTGTTGTTAGAAGAACATAAACTAATTTATATGTGCATGTGTTTTTTATAGCTCATTAGCAGGGACTGGTACCTTTTTTCAGTGAATTTTTGGTAAATTAGTTATTTTTTTAGGTGAATCTAAACTAATGTCTTGTATCTCAGAACACTTGAAATATGTTCTTAGCTTTAAAAAGATCTGCCCAAGTAACTGTTTTTATTTTTTCGTTTGGCCATTATTTGGCATCTGAAACAGTAATTTATTTTTTTTTGAGATGACCTAAACCAAGACAAATTTGTCACAGCAAGGAGTTGCAAGAGATTTTGTTTTGAAAGAAATAGGTTTATTTTTTTACTGAGACAAAACAGCTTCATTTGGCTCTTAAATATATTTTAAATATGAAAATTATACTAGAAGGAAACTTTAAGAAATACAATGTATTGATGTTCGACTAAGGTCCTGAACTTTTTTCCTACTGGAAAAGTTCATAGTGGGATAAAGTTGGTTGTGCCAGCGTTTTGGTTTTTCTGAAAACCTCTCTGGGCTAATTTTTGAATGTTACCTGGCCTTAAGCACTGACCATTGGCGATGCTTGGCTGGATGGCCACAAACCTTTTGTTATGCTGAATTTGATCTGCTGAATAAAGAGTCTGATCGCATGGGACACGAGGAGCAGCTTCAAGAGGCAGCTCTGCAGGCCAGGGTCCAGTCCTGTGAGTCAGAAACATCTGGAATTCAAAATGCCAGTAATGGACAGGACTCCGTGGAGCCGTGACTGAGACGCCCATGGAGATCTCCTGGGCCCAGTGGAACCAAACAGCAGCTCTGCAGGAGCAGAGGAAAACAGCCCAGGGTCTCAGCTGAAGGAAGGGTTCTCACCTGGAGAAGGTTGTTGCCAAAAGTGCAATAAAGGCTGGTTTTGCAGAGTAGGGCCTCGATGCAGGCATCACCTTAATGCTGGACCCTGCTGGCCCTTGGCACTGTTGCTCTTTTTCCCAAGCAGGGTAAAAGCCTCCAAAACCTCAAACTTTGGAATACCTTTAAACATCTTTACTCTTAAGCATCCCTGCCATGACTAAATGTACAAATCAAATGTGACTAATAGTGATGTTAATTAGTCAGCTGTTTTTCCACTCTTCCTTTATGCAGAGAAGTGATAAAAATGCGTATGGAAGTACAATCTAAGATCCATGAATTTAAGAATAGGAGCTAATTTTTTTAAAATAAAAATCTGCTCATAGTGTTTTTCTTTCTTCAAGCCTTAGTCTGAAAGGCTGACCTCTATTTGGATGAGGGAATCAAACTCTTTGGTTAATATAAAGGGAAGAATGGAATACGAAAGCGATTGAGGGAAGGGATGGAACATCTAACATCATTGCCATTAGTTTTATTTTAGTGAAAATAATTGTACGTGTTTAGTTTAAAATGTAGGGGGAAATGTACTTTGAAATATAATTACATTTAGCAGTCTTGTAGCTTTGTACTTTGTGCTATAAATTGCATTCCCAGTTGTTTTTCATCTCCTGTAATTTAAATAAGTAAACCTTTTGTTCTTAAACTCTCTTAGTTCCTTCTAATTCTGTTGATGGACATCCATTTCTACTGCTTTATTTTATGTTAATATTTAACAATGGCATGCAGTTACCCCCCTGCTGGCACTGCTCCACCTCCTTTGTTTCTAGAAGGCCTCTTTTTGCCTTGGCCTTTAGTTTTATAGAAGAACCCAAACTTCCTGTCCCTGCATCTAGCAGGGGCAAGGTTTCTGCATAAACTGACACAAAATCCCTGGGGAAGGGCACTGGCCCCCAAGCAGGGAAGGTGGTGCTGGGCTGTCAGTCTCTTTTGTTCCTTGCTCAGATGGAAGTATGGAGTGGATGATGCTTTGTGGGCCAGAGCAAAGCTGTGCCAAGGGAATGCAAATCCACTAGGTGTGCCCAGGTAATTTAAAATGCTCACGCTGGCAGCTTTTCTGCATGAGTAAAGCTGTTTAATTAATGCGTTTTCTCCACTTTCTTTTCTTGACAAGTTGATTCGAATTGAAACGGTCTGTAATAAGCTTGTCACGGGTCTCTGGGACAAATAACCCCTCCCTGCAGGTGGGAGATGCAGAGCCCATGTGTTTTGTGTTTCTGTGTGACCAGAAGGGCTGGTGGCAGGTATGGCAGAGTGCTGGGGCTGCAGCACCCCCTTCCAGCCCCTTGGCCTCACAGAGGTGCCCAGGAGTGCAGGTGCAGGGCTTCGGGCAGGAGCTGGCACTGCTGCAGCCCTTCTGCTCCCCTGCTTTTACTCAGGGAACAGAGAGTGGAGTGAACATAATGGGCACACAGGCCGAGGCAGTGCTCGTCCTTGTCTCCCCCTCCTCCACCCCTCCAGAGAAAGCTTATGTTTAATTTGCTCAGCCTTGCGGTTTGACAGAAGTGAACATGGAGACCTGAGCCCAGGATCAACAAAGGCAGCACTGGGCATTTCAGCCACTGCCTTTGAAATAGGCCTTGACAATAATGGAGTTGGGAAGCCCCACTGTTCAGCCTTCTTTATAGTGTTAATAACTGTCCAGAAAGAAGAGAAGCAAGAAATTGCTCAGATTTCATCTCTCAGATTTCATCTTGCATCTAGGGTGCCGCAACAAATCAAACTGAAATGGGCCCCATCGTGGCTTCTGCACTGCCATGCTGAGCTGCCCTGGGCCCCTTCTTCCCCTGCTTTGCTGAGGGTTTTAATGCTGAGCAAGAGCTCAGAGCAGGCTGACTGGGGCAAACAAATGTGCTTCCCAATTGGGCAGCACCAATCAGGGTGGACTCAGAAATGGATTTGTTTGTAGAGTGTGAGGTTGGAGGCTGAGGCAGCAGCATGTGCCCAGTGACAGACACAGAGTGAGGCCAGAAGAGATGTCTTCTCTCCCTGTTCACCTGCCCTGTCCCTGGGACACGTCTTCCTTCCCTTCAATGTGCAGGGGCAGTTATTCCTGAAGGGCTCAAGATGAAAATGAGAGTTGAGCTTGGGTGAGGCAGAGTTCATGCCTGGCCATCTCCTCTGGCCCAAGCTTTGGGGGAGGATGACTATGCCAGCCACAGCAATGTTTGGGCAGGGATTCTCAACAAGAAAATATTCTTCATTGTTTAACAAATGCAAACTCTTTGATGCCTTTAGCAGGTAGTGCTGTTTTTTGTGCCTTAGAGCATTCATGGAATTTGGAGTTGTATGCCTTGTCCTTGTGCCTTTGGAGGAGTGCTGAAGTCCAGGAAGACAAACATGTATCATGTATTGAGTTACACTTTAATAACTGATAAGAATTGCAAAAATATTTAATTTCAGGAAAAAATACCCCAGTAAAATGTGCAAAAGAGTTCCTAGTTTTAAAGCAGAACAGTGATAATGAAAAGAAGTTGCATCTTTTCATGTTCATCCATCTCAGGTCTATGCAGTAGAACAACTCTGGCACCTTCATTAATTTAAAAGCTTTCTGGATCAATAATCTCCTCGCTCTCCATACATGGAAGCAGCTGGAATGCATTCTCATGTTGCAATAGACAGTGCATGGTCTTCAGCAGTTTCCTTATTATCTTTCGTAATTAGCAAATCAAATTTTTGTCTTTAATCCTTTTGCATCCAGGGATATTTTGTGCTCAGAAGGCTGGGAAGTATTGGTGAGCAGATTGTCTTGCCAGTTGGAGCTCCCCAGGGCACTGGGGGAAATGCTGAAGAAGAGGGGCAAGAGTTTTGTTGATTGTGTGAGTATTTGGAGCTGCAGCATTACAGCATCCTTTCCCAAGAAGTGCAGCAGGCAGAGGGAACACATGCTATTGTGTTCACATCTGGCATTAACATATAAAATTTGAGGCATATAAAGTTTCTTCCCGTACAACTAAATTAAAAACCTGTGGCATAAGGTAAATTGACAAGTGCAAAACTTCTTGGGTGGGAAATTTAAATGGTTGCAAATGTTTCCTGAAAGCTGCTTCTGGAATCGTGTTCCTGAGCACGGCTGTCTGCAGGCTCACTGCCTAGCAGTGTCAGGGAGAGCTGTCCTGTTCCCATGATGGATTTCATTTTATGGGGGCAAGAATTCTGTTCTGGTTATGAAGACAGCACTGCCACATGGGAGAGTCCAGGTGTGAGAGCTGAGGTGTGCCATGTGAAATAAGCACATCTTGGCTCTCTTTGGAGGGGACTGGGAAGGCACAGGTCACTGGGGCTTGCCTGGGTAAAGTGGCACGTGCTCACAGTGACTGTTTGCAGACATCTCTGTGTTGGGCAACGTGTTTCTGGTTTAAATCTGTAGCTCTCAGAATATCTCAGGGTATTGCACTAGAGTGTCCTCCCTGGACACTCACTCCCTGTTCCTGACTGAATTTGATGTACTTACTGTTACCTAAACGTATCAATATCACTACCATAGATATTTCTATCTAAACAGAACCTGATCTGAGTAAGATGGTCTCCATGACACTGAGGCAAATCCACTGGAAATCTGCTGTGCTGTCTGGCTTCAGATCACTTGGGACTCTGAGGCTGATGACTCTGTCAAGGTGGGTGGAAATAAAATGCAGCTGACAACATCCCTTGGCAATAGGAGCCAGAGTGCTCAGCACTTCTGCAGCAGCTCTCTCCTGGTATTCACACCTTCATTTCCCAGATCCTGTGTCCTGGGCTGCACTGACCCTGACTGCTCCTGTAGAAAAGCACAAGTTTTGCAGGATGTTGGGAACAGGTAAACTGAAGTTGAGTAGAACTGCTGTAGCAGAATGAGACCATCCTGGTGTCTCCAGCACTGATACTCTGCTGCTTGAGTAGGAGTGGTTCGAGCAGTCCGTGGCCAGGCTTGGGCTCCTGTTTAGACTAAAATTTGGTTGTGGCCTGTCGGGTGTTCCAAGAGAAATGGAACTTCTCTCATAATGACCATACTTGTTCCCTTTTGATGCTGGTCTCTGCTGGTCTTTGTCCATGCTGTGTTACATCTCTGTTAATATCTTTACTGATTTTATTAGCAACCCTGCCATTTATAGTACTTGTGTTGCAAATTGTCCTACATGAAGGCACTTAGAAAGATATGTTATGGCTGTAGAGACCCAAGTGATCAATAACTTTTAGATTACTGTGTCACTAAACAGCAGGCTGAGACATGGAAAGGCACTGTTACTTTAGGGATGAGAGATTTTTAGAAAATAAATCAATAGCGAATACAGGCTGATTGGTTTCCAGTTCAAATAATTCCAAGAAACATGGAGCCCAGGGGAAACCATGCCGTTCATACTTGGAAATAAACAACACATGCTTGCTGTCATTTATGTATTTGGGTCAGTTCTCCTGAAAATGGACAGGGAGCTTTTGGGCAGGGTATTAGTCTGAAAATGGGGAACCTGGGTTCTCCTTCGAGTGCTCCCAGAGACTTCTCCCAGTGTTTCCCAAGTTCCTTTTGGTACCAACAGCCTTCACCGTGGGGCATGGGCACTGCGTGGTGTAAAGCACAGGTGGAGCCCTTTTGGGGCTAACAGGAATGTAAAAAATAACAAACATTCAGGGAGGTGATTTTTGTTTTAGTGTTTTCCTTTTAATGCTCAAGCAGCCACAGGCTAAATGGTGGTGAGCAGCTGTTGGGTGCAGCGAAGGGCTGGATGCTTTGTAGACAAGGATGACGTGAAGCTGCCAGGGAAGATGCTGCTGCCTCTCCAGGAGATGCTGTGACACCTCCCCCATGCAGGTGTGTTCATGTGGCATGGGCTGGCTGTGCTGCTGTGCCAGAGCCCCTGGAGCAAACAAGTTCCTGCAGTACCTCTGCTCATCCCTGCTGCCTGGCGCTGCCCTGGAACTCATCCCTGGAGATGTGGGGGGAGACTGGCAGCAGTGGTGGCTGCGGGAACTCCCCTGTCCCTTGGCAGTGGGGAAGGGATCTTTCTGAAAGTTTTCCAGCACTTCAGGGATTTTTTTGCAGCATCCACTGCCAGGAAGCATTCCTGTGTGAGCTTGAGGTGTCTTCAGTTAATTCTTGTTCTAGGCCAAGACCTGCCTTCTACACTTTGCTCAGTCCCCCCAGAAGCTCTTTTGTGGATGTGTTTCAAGGACAGTTCGTGATAAGGCAGTTACCTGCTACCTCTGGAACATAGTGGACAGTGACTGAAGGTCCCAGAAATTTTGTTAGAGTGCTGGTATTATACCTACTGGTTTATTGGAGCACTACTTTTATCTTGGGATAGGTTGCTGAGTTCTGGAAGGCAGTCAGTGGAGATGTACAAGTTGTGAAGGATATTTTCTGGAACTGCAGTACAGTTCAGCAGCCAAGGGCTGACTCCTGTTCATCCAGTAATGGCTGAGGAAGGCCAGGGGCAGAAGACAAGTTGGAAAAACTTACTTGAAGAAAGAAGCGAGAGATACTTTAATGTTGTTTTTGCATGTGGCTTTGTTCCTCCTTGTCCAAACAAGAGAAGGAAACTGGCTGCTCTAACCTGACCTGTGTGCCTCTGCTTGAGAAAGGTGTTTTGTGGTGGTGACAAGGTGTGGAATAGTACTTTGGTTTAAGGTTTGGGATACTTGGAGTTAAGACCCTTTCCTGACCTGGATATGTCTGTGACACATAACTACATCACCTGGTCTGGCTGTGCTCTGTGTGCAAAGTGGAGAAAATAGTATTCCTCAGACTCAAAAGAATGAAGGGTAATTATTTTGAGGCACTGAGATAAGGGAAGTTAAGACAAATAGATCTGCTCCCACTGAATACAGTGGCAGAACTTTTAATGGGAGCAAGACCCAGGCCCCATCCGATAGAGTTTCATCTGGATTGCATATGGGGGTAGGCATTAAAGACCCATCTGAGGATCTCCCCTCTGGAGTACATCCATAAAACACCCTCTGTAGTTGTGTTCAAAGCTTACAGTAATGCCAGTCTCCTCAGGACCATTCACTTAGATCATTCAGAAACTCTTTCTTGTCTAAGCCCTGATGCTCTCCCCCAGTGGAAGAATGTGGTTGAAACTCCCATGCAGGGAAGACTTGAGATTTGTTTTTTATTTGAACCCAAAACATTAACAAATTGGACACATGTGCTCTAAGACTAGAGCCCGCTCTTATTTAAGCCAATGCAAAACTCTCCTTGATCCCAGCAGGATCAAGGTCTTGAATATTGCTTTCACCTTTTTAGAATATCTGCCTCTAAATGAAACAGACGGTGACAAGCTCATTCTGGATTTATCCTCCTTTACTGACTTGCAGCCAGAGATGTTTGCAGACCCTCCCTCTCAGACCAGAGGAATTCACAGTTTAACTGCTGAATGGAAGTCCAAGGGCAGGTATCACTGTGCCTTCTCTTGTGGCACATTCTTTTGCATGTGAAAGTCAAGGCTGTGATTTAGTCTTTTTTTTTTAGCATTTAAACATCTTTAATGCTCTTGTCAGACTGTTGCTCCAGCTAGCATAGTGCTTCTGTTCACTATCTGTGATTTTCTTCCTCTTCATGCCAAAGTACTGACAGGTGAGTATTATATGTGTAGGAAGCTATTTGGCAGAAACATATGCCTTGAATATGTTTAAATTCCTTGTAAGTCACTTGATCAATGTGCAGTATTTGTGTCCCCTCTATCTTGGCTCTAAATTCATATTCATCAACAGAGGTTTGCTTGGTACTTAATGGGACACTGGGGCACTGAGTGAAGGGAAGGGACAATACACAAACAGGGTGAAGAATGAGGACAAATGTAGATGAACTTCCTCCAACAGGCACAAGATGCTCATTCCTGAATAAAAAATGTGAAAAGGTCAAGTGCCCCCAGAGGTTTCTATTGTGACAGGCACTTAACCCCTTCACTCCTGGTTATCTGCTTCAGCTGCTGGGCCACTCAGTGCACAAGTGCCATTAGCATCAGTGAAATGTGGGGCTGGGAGCGTCAGGAGACCCTCCCTTGCAGGCAGCAGGCACTGGGTGAGCAGGAAATAATCCTTGTGGACACTGACCTTGTCAGTAGCTGTGTCTAGAGATAATTATTTCCTAACATGTAACCTTTTCATGGTCAATTGCTCCAGTATATTAGACAGAATTGTGATTTCCTTCTATCTTCAGACAAGGTCTTGTCCTTCCTGCTTTGAGGGTGTAACTTGGCAAGTGCACAGACAACTCAGCACTTGCTGTTTCTATTTTGCTTAAAAGAAAAAGAGTTTTGCTGCTCTTCCTGGCTACTGAGCAGAAGGGATCTAGGGTATACGGCCAATCCCATGTTTTCTTGACAGAGAGACATTTCCCTTTAAGCATCCAATACTAACCAGGCAACTGTCAGTGTTTAGTAATCTTCTGCTCCACCAGATTTCTTGCTTGTTGACTGATTCTGGTTTACCTTTTCCTAGCCTGTGATGCTTCAGTGTGTGCCCCTTGACACATCACCAAGGCATGTGCAGAGGCAGGCTCAGCAGAGTATGTCAGCACAGCTCCGAACGTCACGTTTGACGCCGTCAGGACCAACATCAGCATGAGCAGCCAGGGGTGAAGGCAGTTCCCTTGCACAGCCCTTGAGCCCGTGCTGCCCCTGCCTGAAGTGCACCCCACAGGGGCTCTCTGCTGGTTGGGACTGAGGAGCGTGAGGGATGACACCGTTCTTCCTCCTTCTCCACCCCAAATACTCCTCCTCACCTACTTGTTTGGCTGAGACTTGGCCTTACCAGGCAGAAGCTTTTTTGGGACAGTCCCTTTTGGGAATGTACTCAGCTGACCCCTTGGAGACACGTTGTGTGGACTGCACTGATCCAAACAATAACACAAACCCAGCTCCTGCAGCTAACTGCAATTTGTAGGTGATATTTTACAACCTGCTCCTTGTTTTGTAGCAGTATTTAATTGGCTTTAAAATAAAATTGCAAAACTAGGTCAGTTTGCCATTGGGCCTTGTAAGACTCTTTAGCTAAATCTCCAGACTTTACCTAGAAGTTAATTTGAGCCAGACTTAGGAAAAATATATATTAATATACGCAAAGTCTCACATGAGAAACTTGTAGGCAACGATTTGGGATTCAGAGCCATATTCATATTCCTAAGACTAAATTCAAAGCCATAGTTTAAAAGCAGCCTTGCACATGTGTATGTCCTGATCTTTAATTAGGCAAAACTCCCACTGACATCAATAGGAGTTTGACTTGAATAAGAACTGCAGGATCAGGTCCATAATTTGGTACCTGGGATTTGATTAAGCAGCTAAATTACTAGAACAGTTTCCCCATGTGTATAATTGCCTAATTAATTTTTAAAATAGCTAAGTTCAGCACTGAATACTGTGTACCTCTTGCCACATGAAATGTATGCTATTTAATCCAAGTTGATGGAGCTATTTGGAAGAGCCTGTAGAGTTTTAAGTAATACTGTTTATTTTACACTCAGAAATAGCCACCGTTGTGTTAAAATGTCATGTTCCAGAGTAGTGCTCTACTACATCCTAATTCTTGAGTTCTGGCTACTATGATTGATATTGCAGGTGAGAAAACACTCTGGAGGCTGGGGAAGAACTTATTCTCTAAGATGATTTTTAGATTCAATGCTTTGAAAAGTTTTTTTGTTTTATCAATGATTTTTTTCTGTTTGTTTGTTTTTGTTTTGTTTAGTGCCTCAGCATACTGCCTGTGGTAGGCTATGTATCAGAATAAGTGTGTATTACTTGCTTTTTGTTGAAATTTCAGTCTAATACTGTGGGCTGGAGTTGATATATTTGCTGCAGAAGGACTTGCTTTCACAAGTGAGAGACTGTTCTTTGTTTGAAACAGAGAACTTGTTCTGTAAGAAGAATAGGGAGATCATATATGAGTTTCCTAAGTGGAAAAATATTGTGGAAAGACTTGCAATGCCAAAAAGTAAAATCTGTTCTCCCTAAATGTATATATGCATGTGTGTGTTTGTCTGTGTGGGTCTTGTGTACAGACATAAATAATTAGACTTGTAGCTGGCATAATGCACAGTGCCTCCTCATGCTGTTGACTATTCCTTAATAATGCATGTTTTCCCATTCTCTCCAGCTGAATTCTCAAGGCATTACCATGGGAATTCTGCCTTTTTGGGGATTGCAGCAGAGCTCCAGGACGAGCTGTTTTTGTGATGTGCATCTCGCAGTAGCCCTTATTCAGGAACTCCATCCAAGCATCTCCTGCAGAGAATGAAAGCATCAGCTGTCCTCGGAGAGGAGCTCCACGCTGCAGCCACGGTGAGCCTTGTGCTCTGAGTCTGGCAGGGTGATGGGAGCTTGGATTCTGCCACGCTCAAGGCATGGCTAGGAGCTGGAATTGCTGGAATAGCACAGCACCAGGTGAAGTGGGGTACTGTCAGCTGTACTGCTCAGAGAGTACAGCACAGAGAGCCTTGAAGCCTTTGGAAACCATTCTGCTCCTTTAAAGATCTAAGAATGCTCAATAGGTAAACAAGTCATGGCTCTGAAACTGCAGCCACAGCCTGAACTGGCTAAGGTCTGCAGTGCTGCTGTCTTTTCAAATGACAGCTTTTTGTCTGTTCCACTAATGCCCACAAAATAAGCAGTCCTGTACCCTTGAAAATTAGTGATTGGGTCCACCCAAAATGATGAGATGGTCTTAAAAATGGGAAGATTATATTTTATGTTTTAATTGGAGTCCTTTTGAAGGTTGTCCTGCTGTCTTGGTTTGTTGACTTTTTTTTTTTCCTGTATTTGCCTCATATTTTGAAGACTTTCTATGGGGATTATAGAAAGGAATTGTAGGGATGGAAACTTTCTGCTTTTGCTTAAAAAGAAAAATAGGTAACTCTGTCTTGCAGCTGCTTGATTTCTGCAGCTGAAATTTTCTGAATCATCATGATTTAGCATCGTTAGTGATGACTAGAAGTGATGTCTATGGGTTTGGAATCCCTTGGGTTTTAAATAAAATTTGGAGATATCTTGTATGTGTGTGTGTGATGTCATTTCCCCCGGCTCCTACTGAATCTCATTAAAAGTGAGGAGACTCCTCCGTTACGGAAATAAAAATGGTGAGAAGCGAGTGCAGTCTCTGTGTGGTAACTGAGGCTGTAATCTGTCTCTTCTCTCTGTGGCACTCTGACCTCCTCTAGCGGTGGCTGGCCACAGAGAGCGTCCCCAGCTCTGCCTGGGGACCGGGCTGGGCTCCGGGCACCTGCACTGCCAGCTCTGCTCTCGGACATCCCTGCACTGCCAGCTCTGCTCTCGGACATCCCTGCACTGCCAGCTCTGCTCTCGGACATCCCTGCTCTCTAACATCCAATTCTCTCAGGTTCAGCCGTGTTTTCTACTCCTGCCCTGATTTTTCCTTTGGACAGTGCCAGAAGTGTCTTGCCAGTGTGGCACCCGGCGGAGCCAGAGGGATGTGATGGTGGAAGCCTGACGGCTCCTGTTGCCCTCTTGTTTTCAGTCCAGGTTCCTAAAGTATGAAACCAGCAAGGAACAAAAGGTGGGGGCTTTCTCTCTCTTTCTTCACCCTCTCTTTTTAAAATGCAAACATAAGGAAAAGAGCCAAGTTTCAATTTCTCCTCAAATTTATAGCCATTTACCTGTAACTGGATACTTGAAAAATAAAGACTAATGCCACAAAGGGAAAATCTGCTTGTCTTGTTCCCCTTATTGTCTTGGTTCGCTTGACCCTGTTGGGGATGTGCCCTCTCATTGTGTGCTGCCTTGGGCTTGGGAGGACAAACAAAGGGAAATGAGCTCTGAGTGAGCCCGTGTCTTGGTTGGGGAGCAGCTGAATTATCTGTTCAGTCCCTGAGCAGCCTCAGGGTGCAGCTGCAGTGAGCCAGGGCTGCCTTTGGCACCGCTCGGTGCGGCTGGAGCAGGCAGTGCTGGGGGTGATTCCCACTGGGCACGGCATTCCTGGGCTTGAGGGGAGAGAAAAGCTGAACCAAAACTTTCAGGAGCTACTGAGTCACATCCCACTACAAGAAGAGGGCAAGAGATGTTTTCTCCAGTGGTCCCTTCCATGGGAGAGAAAGCGAAAAGGTTTAGTCCAGTGATCTTCACTACAGGCTCTGGTTTGCTGTGTTACTACTTGCAAGGAGGTGCAGATGTAGTTAAGCAAAGTCCTGCAGAGCAGAAATGGAAGGATTACATCTGGGGTGGGGTGGGGCTCTCCCTCCCAGCACATTGGATTCCCACTTTCAACAGAAAAGCTCCAAAAGGGTCCAGTGTCCTTCTCTCTTACACCCTAAAGCCCTTGCAGTTGCTGCCCTGGACTGGTTTGTTTGTCAGAGGGTTCCTGTCTAGCTGGCAGTCCTTTCTCTTTGCAAAATCTCAGTGCTTAGTGGCTTTAAGCTGAAAGGGTGTACTTAGATTAGATATTGGGCAGGAATTGTCCCCTGTGAGGGTGGGCAGCCCCTGGATCCCTGGCAGTGCCCAAGGCCATTGGGGCTGGAGCTCCTGGGGCAGGGGAAGGTGTCCCTGCCATGGCAGGGGTGACACTGGAGGGGCATTTGAAGGTCCTTTCCAACCCAAACCACCCCATGATTCTCTAGGCAGGGATGGCATTGTTTCAACAGCAAAAATGTCTCCTGAGGCTCAAGCAGCTGTGTGGTTTTTTTCTTTTGGCTAAGTCTAGATGAAATACTTGATTTATTATGTTTCAAAAAGTAATGTTAGCTGCTGATTTTGCTACTCTGTTTTCTTTTACTTCTGATGATTTTTACATTGCAGAAATGCTGGAAATAACAGGAGTGCAACAGATTGTAGATGTATTTATGATATATGCAGTTTAGTATGATGCATGAAAATAGGGTTCTCCCTCTGCTTTTGTTCCTTCAGCATTGCAGCCCAGGAAAAGATTTAATACAAGAATAGAAGCGAGGTAAAGACCATTGAAGACCCATGGTGTGTTTAGAACCTGACCTAAAAATGATCAGTCATGATCTGGTGAGTGTGGTGGAAGTACTTGGATAAAGTCCTGTGCCTCCACCTGAAATCACCCCAGGCAGTTCAGCACATCCAGGTGAATGTTTGGCTTACAATTTTTGTAATGTAAATTTAATGTAAATAAAATTTTTTAAAATTTTTTTAATTCCCTACAAGTTTCAGTTTTTTTGAGGACTTTTGTGTGCTTTAGTATTCCTTCAGAAGTTAAAAACAAAACAAAGAACAAACATCAACAACAACGAAAAAATCAAAATAGAGTGAAAGTTTGGAGCCAGAGTACAGAGAGAGGTAATTTTCAGGAAATTGATGGTGATTTTTGGGTGTGTGAGATTTGGTCATACTGTCAAATGTTTTAAAACTTCAGTTGTCCTAAACTTGCATGTTGATGGTGGTTTTGGTAGATTTTGGATAGAGCTGAGAGCTGATACCCCTGACTCCCTGCAGGCAGCATCTGTAGGCAAAACCTCTGGGTTGTCTGGTTCCTAAACTACTCCATCATCCAGATCAGCCTCTTTGAGAAGAGCAAAGGGAAGATTAATTCCCCTAGAAAAAGCTTTCTCTGCTTTGCATCCATATCAATTTCAGTGACTTAAGATCTCTTTCCTTTTTCTTTTTTTTTTTTTTTTTTTTTTTTTTTTTTTTATCTTTTTTGGAGAATGGAGGCAGTGTTTAAACTGAAGACTTATGGAGCATGGCAGTGCTGCAAACTTTCCTAAGCCCCAGGCAAAAACTGAACATCAGTATATTGCAGACTGTTTGTATGGAATATTTGAAGAACTTCATTTTTATCTTAGAGCAGTTTAAGACTCTGGAGAGATATACAAACCTCTTCCTTCTCCCTGTGAAATAAACAGGAGCAAATATGTATTGTTGCTGCATTCTAGTACTTTTTGTCATCCTTTACCCCACTATTAAATATTTTTCAGTTTGATTAACCTTGTAGCACAGGGAAAGCTGTGTTTAATTCTGTTAGGATCACCTCTCCCAAACAGGCAACAGGATGTTCCTGAAATGAGTGAATTTGTTTGAATAAGGGTGCATTTCCAAACAATCTGCTTTGTCTTCATTAAAGAACTGTAGTGATGGATCTGCATCGCTGTCACCTGTGGTGAGTGACTTCTAGCCCAGTCAGACTGTCTTTGCTAGACTGGGAAACTGTTATCACAGTTTGGTTCCCACAGAGGTGTGCGTGAACCCAGGCTTTGATAAGCTAATTAAACAGAGTTCTCTCACTGAAATGCATCTCCACATCCTTTAATCAGCTCTGTGACTCTGCTCTTGGCTGCTCCAAATTTAAAGAGGTATTTTCTGTCCCTACCCCTCTGCCTGTTCCCTTTCCCTTGCTGTGCTCTGTGGTTTGCCTTTAAATATCTTTGTGGGTGGAACTATCTGCATGTTTTGTACATTACTGAGGATCTGGGATGGCCTCTGGGTACTGCCTTAATAAATGTTAAATACTAAAGGCGAGAGGAGCTGTTGCTTTAGCAGTTTATGGGTGTAACAGTGAAGAAATGGAGAGCAGATCCTTGGTTTCTTCCCTGGCTTGACCAGCTGGAGTCTTGGGAGATGCTTTGCAGAGTGTGGCAAAATCATCATAACTTCATAACTATATTGATGGTTAGGATCTGTGTCCCTTCAATGTTACAGGTTTTTTCCCCCTGAAAAATGCTGCTGCCTTCTTCTTGAAAGCTGAGAGAGATCCCCAAAGCTTACCAGGCAGAAAAGCTCAGGGAGCTCTCAAAGGATATTGCTGCTTTTCCCTCTAACCTCTTACAGTCTCTACCTTTCCTCTGTTCTTTTTTCTTTGCCACTAAGGCGCCGTGTGCAGTCTTTTGTGAACCTTTGTGGGCCACATTTCTCCTAGGTGCCTTTTTTCCTCCTCAGTAGCTGCAGAAGAGGCAGTGGATCTGAGGGGGAGATGTGTTTTATGATTTATGTCAGTTTATAAAGTGCATTTTGCAGCAGGATTGACAGCTGGAGACTGAAGTCCACTCTGTTTTGGGGATGCAGAGGAGGGTAAGGGGTGGGTCTGCTCCTGGTGACTGTCCATATGTCATGCACCGAGTGGGGACGCCTCTGCCTGCTCAGTCCTTGCTTCCCTGTTAAACTCTGCATCAGGAAGCTGGGGCTGGTGCCAGGAAAGCCCGGGACCTTCTGTGCTGGCAGCCAAAGCCATTTTACACCTCTGGCACCTCTCCCGAAGCCATAGCAGGGCTCCTGCATGTCACCGGGCTCCCTTATCAGCTGTTGCTCTAAAGCTGGGCTTATTTTGACAAGCCTTCCTCCGTGGGATGCCTCCTGATGGCAAGGGTGTCAGCACAGCTCGCAGTGTGAGGAGCAGGGGTTTGCTCCGTGTTGCCTTCACTCGGGGGCTCTGTCAGAGACTTCAAACAGGGCTCTTTCCCACGGTTTGTTTCTGCCCCTGCCCCTTTCTTGCCTGTAGCCTCAGGGCTGCAGCTCTCCAGCCATCTATTTATATGGCCCTCATTTGTCTTAGTCTCCTTGGCACTTATATGGCTCCCATTGGCCCAGGGCCTGAATGCCTCCCAATCTTTAATATATTTATCTTCACACATGCAGCCCCACACGCATACCTGTGAGGTCAGGAAGTACCAGTGCTCCCACTGTACAGATGGAGGACATTAAATGGTAATTGGCTAAACTGGGAGCAGGTGGTGGTGGGGATGGAGGAAGGCTGCTCTCACATGCTAGAGAAGATGGCACCACAAGAAATGGTACATTTTGTGTACCACAGTGCAGCCCTGGGAAGATGGGTCTCCCCACTCGTACATGGGTCTTGCAGCCAGTGGAATATGAAGTCCTAGTCATGCCCTATCCCTTTTTGGCCTCTTCATTCTTCAATCTTGTTTTAAAATATTTTTTGTCCAAGTGATGCAAGTTCAGATGCAAAGCTTCTGTCAAATTGCCCAGCCAGGATGGGGGAGGGAGGGTCAGAGTCTTTTTCGTCTGACAGTGAAAGCAAAGGATCTTTTAGTGGCAGGCTCCTTCCCT